AGTAAGTAAAAAGCCTAAGGCTTTGCTCACTAAGCTGAGAATTGTGGAGAATGTGCAAGAGCTTTGTTGTTAAATTAGAGAGCGTTTCTAATTCACCTATTTTGTCCTCAGATGTGCAATTCCCAAACCTCCTAAAATTTCAAATGGACCACAAGGTACGACTTAAAGGATCAGTGTAGTGTCAGTGTACAAACATGTATTCCTGACACTATAGTCCTGAAGTGGCTGTTTAGGTTATTGGCCCCCTCCAAACTCCGTAATAAGGAAATTTTAATTACCTATTCTCCCCCGGCTGGCTCCGACTCCGTGGCTAAGATCATCAGTTTTGATGATCTCAGCCAATCTAAACCTTTCCCATAGGAAAGCATTGGAAGGCTTTGTGCATGAGCGGTAAAACACCGCATCAGTATCTCCTCATAGAAATGCATTGAATCAATGCATCTCTATAGGGACCATTTCACATCAGCACTAGACTAGGAAACACACTGTGACAGAAGTTCCCATGCCACAGCCTCCTGGAGCGACGTAAAGGCTAGCCTTCTGTCCACAGACTGTGAGCCTGGTCCCAGGAGCCCCTTAAGGGATCTGTTGTCCCTGAGGGTTAGGGGCCCTGGACGCTTGTTGTATTACATCAGAATCCCGTGCCCAGAGACCCTTTGTCTGTTTTATATTGTGTTATTATGAGTGCCTATATGTTTTTCCCATATGATTTCGTCCTGTGTATTGTATTGAATGTGTTGATTGTCCAGGTTGTATGTGCCTTTACCTCTCCCCCTTTTACTGTCTTATTGTTATCCAAGCAGGGCATTGTCCTATTTGTCCAGGAACACTTCCAGACAAGTTCCAAATGGTTACCCTGACAGGTTACCCTGACACTCCTTTAAATTCCCCATGTGGTTCTCAGCAGGGCTGGCCGTCCTATAGGCGATTTAGGCAGTCGCCTAGGGTGCACCGGCATGGGGGGCGCCAAATTTGAGTGACCCGGTAGGAGGGAAGCGTACAGCACTCCTTCCTACTTGTCACTCAGTGTAGCATGGCTGGGCGGCGCGGACCACGGTACAGGAGTTCTGTTTCTTGTGCCCAGCCAGACAGAAAGGAAGTTCTCTCTCAGTGGGAGAGACCACCAGGGGAGGGGGGGAGTGAGAGAGAGACCACCAGGGGAAGGGGGGAGAGAGAGACCACCAGGGGAGAGGGGAGAGAGATCACCAGAGAGAAACCACCATTGGAGGGAGGAGGGAGAGACCACCAGGGGAGGGGGGGTGTGAGAGACCACCAGGGGAGAGGGGGAGTGCGAGAGACCACCAGGGGAGGAGGGAGAGAGAGACCAGGAGGGAAGGGGTGAGAGAGATAGACCACCAGGGGGGGAGAGAGAGACCACCAGAGAGAGTCCACCATTGGAGGGGGGGGAGACCACCAGGAAAGGGGGGATAGTCCACCAGGGGAGGGGAGGGAGGGAGAGAGAGAGATCTCCAGGAGAGGAAGAGACACCACCAGGGTAGAGGGGAGGGGGCGGCGAGAGGAGAGGAGGGACCACTAAGGTACAGGGGAGAGGAGAGACCACTAAGGGACAGGGGAGGGGGGAAAGATCACTAAGGAACAGGGAAGCAGGGGAGAGCACTAAGGGACAGGGAAAATTACTAAGGGGCACACAGAGGGGCCAGGAGGGAGACGTACAGAGGGACCTAGGGAGGGAGGGGAAAGACCCACAGAGGGGCCACAAACCCTCTCTTTCAAACTACACACATACACAATGCATTCTTACACACACACACAGAAACACACCATGCGTCCCTTACACACTCACCTTTACACACAATGCATACCTCACAAACACACACAATGCAGCCCTTGCACACATACACAGAAGCACACAATGCATCCTTTACACACACACACACACACACACACACACACACACACACACACACACACACTGCTTCTCTTAATGCATCTCTTACACACACTCAATGCACCCATTACAGACACACACTGCATTACATTACATATACAGAAACACACCTTGCATCCCTTTCACATACAAACAAAGATTCAAACACACACACACACACTACATCCCTTACACAAAACTGGTATCCCTATACACTTCATTCCATAAGAACACACACACATTACATCCTCTACAATGACAATAACACATCCCCTACACACACACACTCCACTCCCTGTGAGCAAACTCATGGGTGTGCCTTGTAGACATGTAGGCATAAGGCATAAGGCTTATGTGCAGGCCTTGTAGGCATACTCATTGTTAGGCCCTGAGGGCCCAGACCGTGATCTGTGTAAGGGGCCCCAAAAAATGGAGCTGCTTCCTGTTCATTGATTTTTGTGAGCACTGCCTCCAGAGAGCCTGTTTCAACACCAGACCAGTGGAGCCAGACAGCAGCCTGAGAACATCATCATCTTGTCTTCATCTGGTGGTAAGTAGGCAATCCAGTATATTATTAGTGGCACTAATCTCTAATTTACCTCACATTAAAGGGACACTATAGTCAACAGAACCACTACAGCTTCATGTAGTGGTTCTGGTGTCTATAGCCTGTCCCCGCAGGTTTTTTAATGTAAACGCATGTCCTTTTCAGAGACAAGACACTGTGTGCAGCACTGGCATTGGCTCATATGGCAGATCATATGGGTGAGTTATTGTAATGTTACATGGTGGGCAGAGTATATGGGGGGGCGGCAAAAATCCTTGCACTGACCCTGGTTCTCAGCCTTTGCTATTATCTGTCCAAAACCCTTCCTGGTAATTACAGGGCTCCATTCACAGTGTTTGTAAGCTTTCTAGTGTGAATGCTTGCTATCCCAAGTCCAAACTCCTATTGCTTACCACTGTAACCCTATTGTATGTAAATGAGGCTGTTGGGAGTATAAATAGATGTGCTGTTCTCAATAAAGTTTGTTGTTTTTAACCTTCACCAAGTATTGTCTGGTGTTTGAAGAAAGGGCTATGATCACTGCACTGCTGGAGAAAGAGTTTCCAGAGCTATAATAACAGTAGTCTGGTCCAGGGTGGAAAAGGCCCTCAGTGATCCCAGTCAAGCTTCGAGAACTGGGTCTGCAGCGCTCCAGGTCCCTGATAGCAGTGAGGAAGCAGACTTGGCACAGGTACATGGTTGGAGTATGGGAGCTCTGTGACACAACTCTAGTGGCCGTCTGAGTGACTATAATATAAATATACACAGGGATTTAAAATAGTGCACAAGTATTTTCTCTGAAAAGACAACATTTACATGGTAAAGCCTTAAGGGAAAGGCTATAGACACCAGAACAATTTAACAAAAAGGTGCCACTAGGTAACCAAATAACCGTGCCGGAGAAACTCCAAGTGGGGGCAACCCACAATAATTCAATTATATTACAGAATAGAGAAATAGACCCAAAAAAGGCACATGAGTCCAAAGATGGAGATCCCTCCAATAAATAAAATAATGGTAGAACAACTTTATTAGAATATGCAATGATTAGAAAAATTATAGTAAGAGACCGTATATATGCACATTAAAAAGCCATGAGGCTGTGGTGCACGATATGATTTAAACATTGGGTTTATATTTAAGAAGGTACATATAAACCAACCATTTCACAGAAATGAAAAGAGATGCAGTATGATGAAAAGGAAACAACTTGCAAAAGTCTATGTAAATCTTCACACTAGAAATGAAGAAAAAACATTGTGAAAGTACATAAATAAAACTTAATTGAGTGGTAAAGAAACCTACACCAGTCAAAATAGTTAAGCGTTGTAAATAATCTTGCACATACCCCTATACCAAAGGGATCTAAAGCTTATATAAATAAACTCAAAAAAAATAATATAGTGTAGTATAATCATGGCTCAATGTGGATAGTGAAGTAATGAGATACACTCACATTGGGCAGTGCCTAGAAGAGGCAGACTCAAATCTCACTGGCTGAAGTGTACTCACAGCCCCTCTTCAGGTGTTTCTTTATAAACTTGTAAGGAAAAATAAAGAGAAACTCATAGTGCAGTATGTATATCTCAATGGAAAAAAATTCCCAGATTTTACTATTAACATGACGTAAAGTCATGATTTTATTAAAGACACGGAGGCGAGTATTATGCATATCTCTTTCTTTATTACTCTCAGCAGCAAAGAAATAGAGATAAATAAATAACTGAAAGAACAAAAAAATACAGTGTTCAAGTAACCAATCACATAACAGAGGAAGTGACTATAAAATACTTGAAGCACCCACAATCCCCCTCTTTCTTGCGGATAACGAAGACCAAATACAGAACATCCAACTTCAGCTAACGTAGCCAACCGCAGCTCCAATATGACAAATCACGAAGAATTCAGGCTAAAGGAGACACAGAAAAAGAAGGTAATAACTGGACTTCAACTGTATGTGCATAACTATAACAAATAACACAGTACGTCAAACTCAAACTCTACACCCCCAAATACGGTGAGACAGCTATAAGGAACATAAATGTAACCCCAATATATAGAAAACGTCAGATACAACACATACAATCAAAACATCTAATAGCGAATATATCATACTTACCCACCATACCAGCCAATGCCCAACCCCAACCGGGTGGGTGGGTGGGTGGGAATAATACTCGCCTCCGTGTCTTTAATAAAATCATGACTTTACGTCATGTTAATAGTAAAATCTGGGAATTTTATTAAAGACACGGAGGCTCCTATTATGCAAGTTTAAAGCTTAGAAACCACTTGAGATGCAAAATGGTCAATCGGCCTGAAGTAGAAATCACGAAAGGTCGATTCCCGTGACCAATCCGCGGCACGTAGAATATCTTCTAGGCGGCAGCCCATAGCCGCCGCCTTGGAGGCCATAGCTCCGCGGACTGAATGAGGGGTGAATCTGGACATATCGATCCTGGCCAGAGATAACAATTCTCGAACCCATCTCGCCAACGTAGGTGTAGACACCGGAAGGTGTGGGGCTCGAAGCGAGATGAACAAGGGGCATAGCTCCGGGAAACGCAACGGTCGAGTAACCTCGAGGTAGGCCTGAAGGCATTCGACTAGACAGATAGCCGGGTTTCCCTGGAATCTAGGGTAAACAAACACCTTCGAAGCCGACTTCGTTCTCCTGGATATGTTAAAGGAGATGCCCTCCGGAGTGAACGCAATGGCATTCCAGTCCAGTGCCCGAACATCCGACACCCTCTTGCAAGAGATAAGGCATAGCAACATGACCACCTTCGCTGACAGCTGTTTCAGGGTGAGATCCTGATTTGGATACCAAGCCGACAAGAATTGAAGGACCACATTCACGTCCCAGAAGGCAGTGAATCTCGCACGGGGCGGTCTGGTGAGACGGATCCCCTTGAGCAGTCGGCATACAAAGGGGTGACGTCCTACGGGCGAACCATCCAAGCCTTGGTGTCCGGCTGATATAGCGGATCGGCATAGATTAATAGTGCGGTACGCCTTCCCAGATTCAAACATCACAGTAAGGAATTCCATGATCACATGTAAAGGGGCAGATATGGGATCCACTGACCGTTCCACGCACCAACTAGACCATATTCTCCAGGCGGATCGGTACGCCACTCGAGTACCTGGTGCCCATGCGTTGTCAAGGAGGTCGAGAGTTGATTGCGGAACCCCTGTGATAGACCAGGGTCCCCTGAAAGAGGCCATGCGATCAGGTGTAGGAGGCCGCGCTCCACCAACTCGTGCGAGTTGCCATCCGGATCCCTCAGGAGATTCGGGAAGGTCGGTATCAGGCGTGGGTAATCCGCTGTCAGTTCCAGCAGCCGAGGGAACCAAGCCCGAGACCGCCATAGTGGTGTGATCAGTACCAACGAGCCGCCGTGTTGCGTCAGTTTTGACAGCGTGCGAGCTATCATATTGAACAGGGGAAAAGCGTAGAGCCGAGTCTGCGGCCAGTCTTGAAGGAACGCATCCGTGGCTACTGCCGCCGAATCCGGTCTCCAACTGAAGAACTTGGGTACTTATGCGTTGAGACGGGACGCGAAAAGGTCCATGTCGAAAGGGCCCCAAATGTGGTCCAGACCCTGGAATGCCGTAGCATGCAAGCGCCAATCTCCAGAATCTCTCAAATAGCGTATTAGAGTTCCAATCGGCCGTTGAGTTGTCCAGACCCGGAATATGTTCCGCCTGCACGGAAATGCTGTTGCGAAGGCAGAATTGCCACAAGTCCTTCGCCATGAGAGCTAACATGCGCGATTTCGTGCCTCCCAGGTGGTTGATGTATCGGACCACCGATACATTGTCCATCTTGAGCATCACGCAACAATTCGCCCGTTCCGGCGTGAGGCTGCGAATAGCGAATGCACCTGCCAATAGTTCCAGGCAGTTGATATGGAGTGTTCGCTCCTGATTCGACCATCTGCCTTCGGTAGATGCGGCACCACAACGCGCGCCCCAGCCGTGTAAGCTGGCATCTGACTCTATCACGATGTCCGGGACAGAACCGAATATGGCTCTCCCGTTCCAGGCGTCCATGTGGGCCAGCCACCAGGTCAGCTCGTCTCTGGACTCGCCGTCGAGTCTCACTCTCTGTTCGTAAGAGTGGCCGGCACGTAGGTGAGAGCCTTTTAAGCGTCGAAGGGCCCGGTAATGGAGGGGGCCAGGGAAAATTGCTTGTATTGAGGCGGCCAAGAGGCCGATCACCCTCGCCAGATGTCGGATAGAGATGTCGTCTGCACGTAGTGTACGTCTGATTTCCTTCTTGATCGCCTTCGTCTTGGACTCCGGAAGGAACAGGAATTGTTGGACGGAGTCCACTGTAAACCCCAGAAATTCCAGCGATTGGGTGGGGTCTAATACCGACTTCTCCCAATTGATGAGAAAACCTAGGTTCTGGAGTAAGGACGTAGTCCATGATACATGAATCGTCAGTAATTCTCTTGACTTGGCCATCAGCAAGATGTTGTCCAAATAGATGATCAGACGTACTCCGCGACTCCGAAGGAAGGATACCACAGGTTTCATGACCTTGGTGAAGCACCAGGGGGCCGAGGAGAGACCGAATGGCAGACAGGTAAACTTCCAGCGCTTTGCCTTCCAGGTGAAATGGAGGAAATCTCTGTGGGCCGAGGTTATAGGCACCGTAAAATAGGCGTCCTTGAGGTCTAGTTTGGCCAACCAGTCGGACTCCTGAAGGAGGTCTCGAAGGCAATGGATGCCCTCCATCTGGAAATGGCGATACTGGAGAAAAGCATTGAGGGGGCGGAGGTTGATGACCGGACGCACACCCCCGCCTTTCTTCGGGACTAGAAACAGGTTGCTTGTAAAGCCCTGTTGAGTAAACGGGACCTCTTGTATTGCACCTTTGGTGCGTAGTTCCACGATCTCCGAAGAGATCAATTCTTCCTGCTCTCGAGCTAGCGAGAGTTCCCTGGGGACAAAAGTTTGAACAGGAAAAGACACAAAATCTATGTGGTAACCCTTCACTGTTTGAAGAACCCAAGCATCTGCCGTCAGGGCCACCCATGCCTCGGAAAACTGGGCCAATCTGCCCGCCACCCGCTCTCGTGTATGATGGACAAAAGGGGTACTCACCATAAGGGCGTCTGCCTGATGAGGCACCTCTCGGGTAGCGGGGATTCCAGGACCTCCCTCTGGATGGGAAGAACGGAGCCGGTCTGGGCTCTTGGAAGTTTCTGGTAGGGAAAAAGGAGCCTCGCTGGGCTCGATACGAACCCCGAAATCCGCGGCCGGGTGGACGGCTCCTGTTGCGCCCGGCCCCTCCAAAAACTCTAGGGGAAAACACCCTCTTCATATTAGCCTGGGCTTTATCAATGGCTGTGAAGGTTTTAACGTAAGACCCCAGGTCTCTTACGAAATTATCTCCAAGAGCATCCCCTCAGCCGAGGGACCAGGTTCGGAGACGGCCATGGTAGCCAATTTAGGATCAATCTTAAGCAGGATTGCCTTCCTGCGCTCAGCGGAGACGGCCATATTAGCATTGCCTAGTAGGCAAATGGCACGTTGCACCCAACCGATCACTACATCAATATCAAGCTCCGCGTCACCCGCCTTGGCGGCTTCCAAAACTTCATAGGCCTTAGACAGAGGGCCAATGGTGTCCATAATCTTGTCTTGACAATGTCTCAGGGAAAAATCAAGGCCCTTCTTTTGCTTCCAGCCTGACTTGTTGAGGAACTGGGCAATTTGAGGATCGACCTCTGGCGTCTTACACGCCGATCCTGGGACCGAAGGTCTAGGACATTCAGCCCGTAGCTTACTGCGACTCTCCCTAGAGAGTGGCGTACGCATCCTAAGTGCGATATATCGGGCGATATGCTCAGGGGGTTCCCACTCAGCGGAACGAGGATGGCGCAAGTCATCCGGATCAAACAGGGGGTTACCCTGCGGATCCAGAATCCCCGCGTCACCACTCGCCTTCTGGGCAGTAACACCCCCGGCAGGGAAAGCGCCCCCAGTATGGGGTGCTACAGCAGGGGGAGCTCCCTCCTCCGAGACGGCTTCTTCATCAGAAGCATAGTCTAGTTCCTCATACTCCTCCTCCTCACTCCGGTCGCTCTCCGACCTTTCATCACGGGATCTAGCCCGTTTCCATAACCTGGCCGTTTTTTGCCCGACCAGAGGCTCTTTTGCGCGGTGGAAGCGCGCCATCTGTGACTGCCTCAGGCGAGTCCGTCAAGGCAGGTAAAACCTGCGTCATGGAGTGGGAGGAGAGATGTTTGGCCTACACCTTGGCCTTACGGGCACCAGGTGGGGTAACAGGAGTAGGGTCCGTACCCAGTAGGGTAGGATTAGCCACCTGGGGCAGCAAAAGAGATTGTGCTAGAGTCTGGGAAAAGGAGGAGGACATAGCCCCCATAGCAGAGGCGAGCGCTCTCTGGAGAGAGGATGCCATAGTGGAGTCCATCAGAGCCTGGAACTCCTCAGAAATAGCCTGACCCTCAGGTAATTCCTGATGGAAGTCAGTAACGCGGCCCTCAGGGCCATCACCCTTATCCTGCATGACTACAGGAAAAGGGTTAAACAGTAGTAGTAAAAATACGACAATCAGATCTGAAATCAAAATGAAAAAATGGCAGATAAGTATATAGGAAAATAATGACAGAATTAGGGTTTAATAACCCAAAGGGACAGGAACATAACAGGGTTAAAGATAGGCACCAGAAAAAGACAGAACAGAAACATAAGTACATGGAAATCAAAAGAAAAACACACAGTAACTGAAATCAAACATAGAAATATATATACATATACTTAATAACAGAATCCTACCCCACAGTGGTGAAACAAGACTGCACAGAACGTCCTCAGGGGATGAGAGGTAACCGGCAGGGGAGTGTGGCCGACGGACACAAGATGGCCGCCGCACGAGGAAGGAGGGTAGCCGGGGGTGGGGGAGGGGGCGCACGCGTGACCACAGCGCGGCCCGACCTGCACAAACACCCGGGAGCCACCGCCTAGGTAAGCGGAGGCTCGCCGGCGTGTAAGCAGGCAAATCCCCGAGACAGGGGAAATCCCCGCGGCCAGCCGCAGAACGCGGTCGGGATGGGAGGGGGCGGGAGGCGGCACTGCCTAACGCGGCTGCGACGGCCCGCCCGGGAGATTACACCACAGGGGTAGAAAAACACGCAGAGAAATGAAATATAAACACAAGCTCCTAACTTAACTAGACATAATAACTAGGAGCAGACATAAAATATAAAACCATGTAAACACAGTACAGGAAAAAACCAATAACAACCCAGAACAGAAAAAAGTATGTACTTAACTGGTCTGAGAGCAGCAAAGAAAGAGGGGGATTGTGGGTGCTTCAAGTATTTTATAGTCACGTCCTCTGTTATGTGATTGGTTACTTGAACACTGTATTTTTTTGTTCTTTCAGTTATTTATTTATCTCTATTTCTTTGCTGCTGAGAGTAATAAAGAAAGAGATATGCATAATAGGAGCCTCCGTGTCTTTAATAAAATTGCAATAACTTGCAAACTGCTCACATTTTTTAGAGCCTGTTGTAGTAGGCTCTAAGTATGAAGACCTTTGTGCCACTAAACGGAGTCACAAACCCTTTTTTAAATACTGGACTAAATAGTTGAATTGAGTCAACAGGATGGATAATAAAATATTTACACTACTGTATATATATAAAAACAAATATTAAAAGCAATTGTTGAAAATTATTTTGTCGTACATGGAAAATACAAAGAGGCATACAATGCCACAACAGCTAGCATTTCAATCGACATTTAAAGACAATTGTTGGCTTACAATATCACTGCACATTTATATTATAGTATAGAATAAACAAGAGGTGAATCAACATGTCAGATACAAGACAAGGCAGTTGTAGAAATGATTCGGATTAAACATACTGACACTATTAAATTAAAGATTATGGGAAAACACTCTTAAGGGAGACAGTTTCATTTTTTCACGATTTAGTAAAGGCATAATGTCACTATTCTTAACCCACTGAGTTGCATCAGCATAATGAACCACTGGTACCCATCAAAATAGGGAGCATAAAATTTAAGCATAAAAACAGCTAACATAAACAGCTGCCCATTATGAGCCGAGAGACTTTTGCAATTAACCATGGGCCCCCATGATAGTTAAGATGTTCAGCCTATGCCCACCAAACAATAACGTGGACCTGGCAGGGTGACAGCACTGAAGAGCCATACAGTGTTGCCCCACCAGCCCCAAACTTTGACACAGTGTGGTGCACGTTGCCCATGGGTCAGACCACATACTGCAATCCAAACGTCTACCCTGGGTCTCCTGACCTCCCAGGGTGGGAGCCGGGGAGATGGAGTAACCTCCGGTTAGACTGCGGCCTAGGTAGGTCTCGGCTGCCTGTTGAAGTGAGCCTTCTGGGGTGAGGTGTTCATCGCTTCGTTTTCCTCCTCTTCCTAGCCTTTGGCGCCAGGGAAGGAGTAGTAGCTGTAGGCTTTGGGCCGAGTGTTCCACCAGGGTTCAGCTGTAAAATAGTGTAGCCCACAATTTCACGTTTCTCCGATCTCCAGTTCGGGAGCTTGGCTGGGGTGGTGCTAGTCTTGCTTCCAGCTTAGCCCAGAAGTTGCGGAAGATAGCCTCCAATCTCTGCAGAGATCTTTCAATAGGGCCACAGTGGACTTGTAGAGTTGGCGTCAGATTGTGCCCATGAGGAAGGGGTACCTTCGCCATTTTGTCTGCAGGAGTGTGTTCCGAGGTGAGGTGAGTGCAGCAGTAAGGAGTCACTTAAGTAAATTAGAATAGTGGAGACCAGGATGACTCCCACTCACCCGGGGGGGATGACACCACAGGATTTCAGCGGGGAGGTATTGCCACGCGGGACAGGGGAGCGGCCATCTCTCCCACTCGGTACCCCCAGCAGGCCCCACTGTACTTAGCCAGAGAATCAGAAGCTGGCACTGCTAGTAACCAGCTTGGAACATTCGGCTCGGTTTTAGGAGTAGGTGAGTTGTCGATTTGTATTGATAGATCGTGTTTAATGTCAGGATAATCGATTAAATGGTGAGCCATGTGCAGAGCTCTCCCAAAATGCAACCAGCCGCCATCATGCTCAGGCCCCACCCCCTGTTTTGTTTTTATATATATATATATGTGCAATAAATAGCGTTAAAATTTAACAGTGTTAAAAACATCAGAGGAGGAACTGTGTCACCTAAGTACACGTATACTGATGAGATTTGAGCCAGTTTAAGCTCTGCCCAATGTCAGTCTATCCAATTACATCACTATCCACATTGAGCACAGATTATACTATACTATATTTGTATTTTGCTTTTATTTATATAGGCTGTAGATCCATTTGGTATAGGGGTATGTGCAAGATTATTTACAATGCTCCACTATTTTGACTGGTGTGGGTTTCTTTACCACTAAATTGTTATTTATTTACATGTGATTGTGCCAAGGAGAGAGATTCTTGCACAAAGGTGGCAGTTTTGTTGATTTATTTATATTATTTTTTTCCGTAGAAAAGGGGGACTTGCATAAAAGGCCAGTTGTGGCTATTATCAAACACAAAGTTTTAACCCTTCATGAAGTCTTGGCTCATGATTGGGGAATTGGGAGCTATAATCACTACAACCTCTTCTATGCTTGGATTTCAGGAGACTCTTCAAGGATATACTCAGTCGGAGTATAGGGGATCCGTTACACCAGGATTCCCTGAAATGGTCCAGGCCATAAGCCAAGGTTAATCCTAAAGGGCGAGAGTGTGAAAGTCACCTGCTGGATCTCAGAGGAGGTTGTAGGATAGAGGCAAATGCAGTGGACAGTCGACAGATATTTCTAGGACATTGGGGTACCAAGGTTGGGCTCTCCATAGAAGAGTCATCAGGATTATCTATCTTGACACCAAGAGTTCTGAGGTGGTAAAGTGTCCGAGGAATCATAGAGAGCAGTGGAAAGGTGTACGCCCCGGTTATTGGCCATGATTGCAGGAAATTTTAACAGCATGACACATTGGATCTGTTAACCAGCTGAAGAATGTGTCGGTCTGATGCAAAAAGGTCTAGGGTGAGAGGACTATGTAGTAGATGTAGGTGATTGAAAATGTGAGGGTCCAGTTGCAAATCACTCCACCGTTCAGTGATAATTGCAAATCACTCCACCGTTCAGTGATAATTGCGACATAAGCATTGCCTTAAAACCATAAAGCTCTTTGTGCCCATTCATGCACCATATTCAGATCAAAGGTTTTGTCTGTCAAGGCCTTGTCTGCAATAATAGAAAACGGGATAGGAGGACCAGTAAAAAAAAAGCAATGTGTGTTTTGCTGCCTTCAAGCCTTGCTCAATACCTTTACGAGGGTCTTGATTTTTGAGTTACTTAAAAATGTGAATTCTGCTCTCTGTTTATTTTAAATCTCTTTCTCCATAGGTTTGCGGAGCCACAACCAACAGAATTGTGAAATATGTTCTGGGGGTGTCTACTCAGGTGAGCTTGGGTGTCTAAAAATTCTAGTGTCGAACAAGGGGCAACTATTAGAATCTAGCAGGGTATCAGAAGTACAGACCTGAGTCAAAGCAACAGGTTTAGGCTCTTGAGAAACGTGGGGTTGTATAACAAAAGAATCCTTGACATACTTCGAATGAGTGTGATCCTGTTGTTCATTACTAAGAAGGTCGTCAACTGATTACCCTGCGCAATATTTATCTATGGCCTGTAGATCGTAGTTAGAAGCAGAGCCCCTTAAAGGGTCTAAGTCTTGTTGGTGTAAGGCAGATGTTTGAGTTAATTTCGGTATTTTAGTGGGCGCTTTGCCATTAACAGCAGAAGCACTGTTACCCTTCCAGGGATGTTTTTGTGGAGCACCATCATGATATGAGAAATGAGACTCATCTGAGTCTGAAAAATGGAAAATAGGATATACCTAAACATATAAACAAAGAAAGAAAAAGCTCATAGGGGAATAACGTCAATTCACAGATAGCCTCTTATTTCTATGTCACACTCAAAAAATTGAAGAAATTTTCAGGCTCACCAATTAGGTAAATTTTCACGAGTTCCTCATAATTCAGATGATGTGATGCATGCAAAAGATAAAAGATAACATAGTACAGCGCTGTTATGAAGTAAAAATCATCAGCTTTAATGGTTGCACTTACAGTGTTAAAGAAGTAAAAAAGCCCATCAATACAATTCT